TCTTTTGTCATATGGTTCATCATTGTTTGGATAAAGATGTGCCTAAAAATTGTGACCTTGGTATTTGATAAAAATAAATTACACACACACACACACACACATATATATATATTTTTGTTTTTTTTTTCAATAAATAATGATATACTTTTAGAAATGAGACAACCACATAGAATTATCTTATAACAAGTTATGTTATATTTACCTTTTTTGACCCATCGAAAGTTAGTATCGTCTAAATCACCGATGTAATATTTCTTGTTTATTATTATATTCAATCTCATTCAACTTTTTATTATCTTTTATACAAAATTATGATTTAGACCACTTCATAAACTTTCAAAGGTTCAATTACCATCTTATTATAAACATTGTTCATTTCATAATAAAATAATTTTGTTTGTTAAAATCTTTGAAGAATTTGATTATTTAAAAATGAATATTTGAAAAAAGCAATCATTAACAATTTAAAATTATATACTAAATAATTATTGTCTTTGAAAAAAATATGGTAGGATTCATGTTTAATAATTCCAGGGTATTCAGAAATTGCAATTTTTTTTTCTTTTCTTAACTGGAAGAAGTCATTTAGAAATATAAAAAATCTAAAACCATAGTAATTTCATCAATTGAAATTCATTCTGATGATATCAGAATGATTACAAAACAATAACTATAAAACTTATATCAAAAAGACCTTAAAGAATGAAGTGGCTATTTATATATTATTACTATTTGATCAATATAAAAATTGCTTTCATATTTAATAATCAAATTAATACTTTTCATACCTTTCGTAGAAATTAAATTTTATAATATATATAAGATACTTATGTATATACAATATCGCAATGTAGATGTGTGTTCAATATAGGCAAATATTTTGTATTGTATCAGTAAAAATTTCTAAAATATAATTAATAATTGTATATCGAATTTTTCGTTTGTATTTAGAATATACATAAAAATATTTTCATAATTCAGAACGATTGTGTTAGTACACAAATAGATTTTCTTAGAAGCTTAAAGAGTAATAGGGATACCAAAATTATTATAACTTGTAGAAATATGATTTATTCTTACATTATGCATTTTAGTTACAAATTTATGCTTTTCTCAGTAGTGTGTGTTCATTTGGAAGTCACGTTTATGAAATAAATAAAAATATATTTAGTAATTATAGAAGTATAGTCACATATACATTAACAAACCAGTCTAAAAATTGTACCATATATTTACTACAGAGCCACAAGCTATCTAAATATTAAATTTACTTTTAATTGATCTTATAATTTAATCTTGTATATATAAATATATGTCTTATAATCTTATTAACATTTTTATTTCAATTAACTTATTAATGAGGAATGTTATAGCTCGCAGCACTGTAATATTTTTAAAGAGCAATTTAAAGAGCCATTGAAAAATTTATTGAAGCTGTTAGTTTTTTCATGTTATATAAATAAAGGTTGCAAATATTCAATATGATTACACTAAGTATTTTTAACATACAAAGCTGTAAACATTATACATCTACAAATGAATACTACTTTATAAGAGAAAAGTTAAATGACTTTAAATTACAAGTACTATATAAAAATCTAACATATGTGTATTTCTTCGATATTAAATGCTAATAGTTTATCAAATTATATTGCATATCATAAAAGAAATCAAATAACATATATACTTAAGCTATGGATGTAAATGAAAAAAATTTATATTTATATTATCCTGATAAAAAATGCAGTAGAGAGAGGAGACAATATAAATTCTATAATATATTCGTCTAGAGTAGACTTGCAAATAATATACAAAAATATCGAAGTAATTATTTTAAATTTATAAAACATATAGAAAAAGAAAAAACAAAAAAAGAAAAAAAACCAGAAAAGAGAAAAGAGAAAAGAAAAATAAAAGAAAAACAAAATCTAATCGTTCTGAAATTTGAAAACAGAATACTGTGTCGTATAAAAATTAAATTGTTCAATTCTTTATAGGAGGAGTAGCCTGAAGCTTAAGACTGTGCCTGTTCGCTGGAAGGCTGCGTCTCCTCCATTTGCTCCATTTGCTCTGATTGCTCAGGCGCATTCTCAGTTTTCTGAACACCCTCGGATTCATTCGTATTCTTATCATCTGTTTTCTGACCACCCTGTAACCAAAGCAATCCAGCTGTCAAGAGAACAAATCAAAAAATAATTTTGGATTCAATGTTTACATAACACTCTATATGTTGTATCATACGGACGATATAACAGTAATATACCTTTGATCCAAGGTTCTGTCAGACTTAAACAAAATAGAGATAATAAAGATTGTTCGGCGTTTACTGCTAGAAGATTCATATTGATACAAGGTAATATAATTGGTATAAATTGGAAAAATATCATATATGTAATATTGATTGACATGAAATAGTACTTAATAAATAATAAAATGTTAGAATAGAACTTTTATAAATATATTGATACTAATAATCTTGTATTTTAAATTTCATATTTAAATATCCTAAGGGAGATAAATAATAGGTACCAATAGAAAAAAAATATTATGAAAAAATATAAAATATAGAGCAAACATTAAAGATTAACACGTTCTCTAATTTGTAATTTATATTACTAGATCTTAATCTTAGATGCTAAAATTATAAGCAAAAAAGTGATGTAACTACTAACCATAGAAGAATTTAAGCAACAATAGATTTCAGTTTAGGAAAATGTTTTCATAATATTTTCAGATCTTTTTTATCACATTAAGTTAATAGTTATTATGAACTATATTATAAGAAAAGTTCATTTATACATTTATAAGAAATGATAACATTCGTACAAAAAAGAAAAAAAAGAAAAAAAGGAAAAAAAAAAGAAAAAGAAAAAAGAGAAAAAAGAAAAAAAAGAGAAAAAAAAAAAAGATATTACTTATAGTTTATAAAAAATATATAAAAAGCAATATTAAATTTTTATACAATGCTTAGTTAAAAGGTGGTCTGACCAATAATTGATTTTATATTGGCAATGAAAATCTTTAATCTCTTATTTAACTATTACTATAGTATATACGTTAGTTAAAAATTATTTACATTTTTTTTATAATTAAAGTTTAAATTGCAAAGTAGCAGTGAATAGGAAAAAAAAAAGATACCTGTTCAGGGTGTTTAGTAACAAGATATTCATTCTTTGCATCTCTTATCATTCTTGTGACTTTATTGCGTAGATCCTTAAATTCTCCCCATTCTTTTGCATCCTTATTCTTCTTTGCCTTAGCATAAAGCTTATTTTTCTTTTGTATTTCACTGCGAATTTCATCTGTCATCCATGGTTTTTTTAATTCTAATTCCTAAACGACCATAATACTTTTTGATAATAAGTAAAGTAATAAATTCTTTTTTTTTTGCAATTATGAATTATTTTAATATTTAACATGGACGTAAAATGCTACAGTGACTATTGTATATTATTAATAATAATATTTTTTAAGTAAAATATCGAATTGTTTTGCTTATATCTTTAATAATCAAATACTTTTAAAAGTCACTCGTGCATGTATAAAAATATTTAAGAGAAATAAATTATAATGCTAACTGAATAATAAAATAAAATTTGAAATAGATAATAGATAAAAAATTTGATAGCATACAAGCTAAAGGCAGTATAACACATACCTCAAGCTTGATGACTTTCTTGGCATTATTTAATACTTTGCCTTTGACCGTTCCATTTCTAGTAGAGAACCTTGGTCTCATGTGTGGTAAAATTTGTGGTGGTAAGACTCTCCGAGGCCATGGACACATAAGTGGACCTCGAGGTCCTGCCATAGGTGGTAACGGTGCCCTACCTGGTGGAAAAAGTGGTAGTGGTCCACCAGGTTGGGCCACACCGCCTAGTCTAGGGGGAGGAGGCAATCTCTGTCTCATCGGGCCAAGGATTGCGCTCATTGGAGGTAGCGGCATTCTCGGAGGCATACCTGGTGGTGGAAGTCTAGCACCAAATCTTGGAGGCGGAGGTAGTCGTATACCGGCCGGTGGAAGTCTTGGTCCCAAGAGAGGACCTCTGTTTAACGGACTCATATTTCCTCTTCAAAATAATATTAGCACACTTATAAATTCGACTAAATTAGAATCGATGAGAATTATTCTTTTTTTCTAAGGTTATGATCAACGGCTTCACGCACTTTGTATACGCGGGATAACAAAGTACGTATGGCGTATAGTTATTGTTAAACACTTACGTCTTTTACAACACCCTTGTTAATATCGATGGTTATTTAAAGTCGTTAATATCGTGAATTTCACGTCAGAATACAATATCTTCGAGCACTAGTTTCACACGCTAAACAACGAAATATCGCAACGCAATGGAAGTATTCAATGTTTTTCAAGAATAAATGTGATAGAAATAACCGTACAGATGTAACTACATTTTTATTGCGCATGCGCGCATTTGTAAAGGAATAGGAAGTTCTTAACCATTTCCGGCGAGTTTTTATTTTTTCTTTCCGGTCCTCTTTTATTTATTTTCAAATAAACTTTTTATTGTTAACGGTCGAAAATAAATGAAATGCAAAAAATTCAATATCCTTAAAGGAAAAGAAAAGACTTGCGAAATTGTACAATCCTATTTAATTTTTTCTTATAAATTTGATAAGAGCATGCCTTTTGGATTCTTTAATACACAGTCTATTTACATGTAAACATTTGAAATATACATTGAGCTTGACAAAAACTCTATAATATCTTTAATAAATAATATAATATCTTTAAATAATAATATCCTACTACGGTTTGCTTATTTGAACTTTTTCAAATATAAAAAATGAAATGATATGATTAACAGAACGTTGAAAACTCACTTTTATGTCAGTGATTCCAACCTCAATTCGTAGTAACTTTAGAAATATAACTTTTGAAATGTAATACGCGATTGGTCAATGGAATTGCTTAAATTTTGACATCTTCCTGATTGGTGTATTTGAGTAACGCTTGTGGTAACGTATCGCCAGCTGTTGGTGTTACGTTTGTTTGAAAATCAAACGGCAACTGAAGTTTGTTGGTTTGCTTGGAAATCCGTTTGCTGCAATGCATGTACGATTGTAAATAATATTCGGATATTAAGTATAAGCGGGCACACGTCGTGTCTGAAGCCAGAAGATTATCAAGAACGACAAAAGTAAATTAGATTTATTTTATTTTTGTCGGAAAATTGTCTAATAAATAATGGCTACGATTCGAGTGCACGAGGATCAAGAAAACCGCATTGCCGATATCTTTCGTGGTAAAGAAAATATCGTTGTGCCCGCTCAAAATCAAGTCCTGCAACAAACAAAACGCGCGGTTTTGGGTGTTTTGCATAATAACTGCCATCGAATTGTTAAAACAGTATGTATTTTATTTGTGCCAATTTTTTTGTCATTTTCTTTTTCATCCGTATTCCCGGCATTATAACTGAAACATTTCAATCGATCTAATCAATAAAATTATGCAATTTCTCGCTAATCTTATTGCATAATTTATAATATAATTTAATGTTTTTCATTCCTAATCGAGTAATTTTTTTATATAATTTTATTAAATACATTTTATTCGACATTTAAGTTTTATGTTTGTTACCTGATCATTTGTAGGATATCTGCAAAGATGAAAAGCATCCAAAAGCAAAATCTATTGTGACAGTGCCATTTGAACCATTCAAAATTTATGAGGACAAAAAGGATGAACCTGCCTTTAAAGTTTATGAAGATAAATTGGAAGAAGAAACTTCTGTTGTACTTAGGGATTCGAAAGAGGAGAGAGAAATAGTAACAAAACAAGAAGTGACTGTTCAATCGGAACAAAAAAAGCCGAGGTTAGACATAAATTCGTTATCTATCAACGATCTGCCAATATTTTGCAACAATCTTCAAGAAATAATAAAAAGCAAGCAAGATGATGCTTTGCCGCAAGGTAGCCCAATGTCATTGGATAAATCTCTTTTGTTCCCGAATTCTTCGAATAAAGATAATAGAACAAATAAGGAATCATCCAGAGAACTTAGAATTAATTTCTTTGACGTAGAAGAATATAGGGCAGATATATATAGTTATTTACGTGTTGCAGAGGTACGTACAGTATTATTTAAAATATTAGAAAATATATATTATGATACATATATATATATATGTATATATCAAAATAATTCAGTATAGACTGAAAAATTTTGATATAGTTATGTACTTTTATATAGAGACAACATAGACCAAAACCTGGTTACATGAAAAAGCAGCCAGATATAACATATTTAATGAGGTTGATATTAGTAGACTGGCTTGTTGAAGTAGCAGAAGAATATCGATTACAAACAGAAACATTGTATTTGGCTGTTTCTTATATAGATAGATTCTTATCATATATGAGTGTCGTTCGGGCAAAGTTGCAGCTCGTTGGTACTGCTGCTATGTTTATAGCTGCGTAAGTTTGATTAGAGTGGTGAAATGTTTAAATGTATTGTAAAAATAAGAGAAATAAATGTCTTTCTTTGTGTTACAGAAAATACGAAGAAATTTATCCACCAGATGTTGGTGAGTTTGTATATATTACGGATGATACATATACCAAGAAACAGGTATTGCGAATGGAACATTTGATTTTAAGGGTATTGTCTTTTGATCTTACTGTACCGACACCTTTGGCATTTCTTAAAGATTATTGCATTAGTAATAATCTGTCAGAAAAGATCAAATTTTTAGCAATGGTAAGTAATGATTATTATATTTAATAATTAAATCGCCATATAATCATAAAGTAATTTAAATCTGTATGAATTTTTAGTACTTGTGTGAATTATCTTTACTCGAAGCTGATCCATATCTGCAATATTTACCAAGTCATTTAGCTGCATCTGCAGTCGCACTTGCACGGCATACATTGCAAGAAGAAACATGGCCACATGAATTGGAATTATCAACAGGTTATAGCTTACATGAGCTTAAAGATTGTGTTTCTCACCTGAATAAAACTTTTCATAATGCATCCAATATTCAGCAACAAGCAATACAAGAAAAATATAAAAGCAGCAAGTAAATACAAACAAGTAAAAACTATCGTTAAAGTTATACGCATTGTATTTTGTTGTTAATTTCTTATATTTCTTTTATTATGTTTTATAGATATGGACATGTAGCTCTTTTACTGCCACGTAGTTCTGAAGCTTTGGTGTATGAAGATGAAGAAAGTGCATAGAGAAATCTGTTAAAACAGTTTCACTGAATAATACTATAAACTTATACATAATTAACGAACCTCCCGTAATAAAGTCCACGTTCTGAAAAAGTTACAAGGAGGGAATAGGGCAAGACTGATTAACTATTCCACAAATGGAAATATCGATTGCTAGCATTATTTAATATGTTCGATTCGCGTACTCTTTCTCTCTTTTTCTTTTTCTCTTTTCTCTCCTCACTCTCTCTCTTTTCTCTCTCTCTCTTTCTCTTTCTCTCCTCCTCTGTCTCTCTCTCTCTGCCTAAACGAACATATTAACTTTACATATTCCATATTACGCCACTATGAATAATTGTTAACAATTGTGGCCAAACTTTAATGACTGTTTTCCGAGCTTCATCATTATATTAACGAGGAAGCTCCGCATTACGTTATCTAGAAATGGTATTTTTATAAGTGTTTTTTTTAGATAATTCTTAACCAAACGCACTTGCTATTCAAAATACGCATGTCCAAAATTTTATTGCCAGTGAACTGTAATAAGAATAAGAATTGTAAGAGTAATAACTGTATTTATTAAATGAACATTATATTATTTGATACATATTGTTGCAGTTGCAACATGTCATTTAAATATCTGTAAAATTTATTGCAACGCTAACAAATTTTCTATACTGTACAGTTATTTATTTACAATGCTATAAGTACTTTAACTCAGAATTTATATAATTTGCATGATTAAATTTTGACAAAAGGACGACTTCCGCATTTAGCTATGGATTTTTTTCGTTCAGGTACTTTGTAGGTCATGTCTGTACAAAGAAAATCTTTTAATTGCATGATGTAATATATTACATATTACACACTTCAAATATTAATTAAATTATAATAGGATGATGACAGAATACTTTATGAAAGTATAACGTCAAAATGTTTATTGAAATTAATGATATTTTGGACCAAAAATATGGTAATTTTACAATGTTATATTATATACAACATGATCTATGTAAACGTGTACTCGATATCTAAAACTGCCCAAGTATTCCCTTCAATGTGTATGTACAAACGGAAATCTGTGCTGTTATAAATTTGCAAGTAAAAACGTCAAATGATTTTATATTATCATAATAATACATTAAATTTTCTGTATGTAAAAATGAATCTCTTTCTACTCTATGCTATTTTAAATATCATTAATATTTGCACAAGTAAGAAACAGAATGATTTATGCAGTAATGTTATTGTACTTAAAAAAAAAAAAAAGATAAAAAAAAAAGAAAAAAAAATGACAACGTTTTCACGATATATATACATATGAACATCAAAGTAAAATATTTTTATTATGTAATTAAAATGCAAAAATCATGCTTATATTTGGTCCAATATGCATAACTGCATATTCAAATAACATTACGCAAGATGTCTACGTAGGTTATTATCTGTATTTTATATATGAGACGCACATTTACTTATGCAACTGTTTGAATTAATTTTAACAGAATATGCGTTATATAATTCATATTCTATTATTTCATTTGCTATTCATTTAATCAGTAGAAGATATTTAAAAATTGTATGATATTAACAAAATTCAATAAGAGGAAGTGAAAATTTTATTTTTAAATAATTAATGTAAAGAAACGAGCGAAAAATTAGTGTGTAGAATTTTTTTTTTTTTTTTTTTTTTTTTTGTAAATTATTTGAAATAAGAAATTTTAAAAGCACTCTGTACTATTTCACATTGACGACGAATATATCTAATAATTTAGAGATCTAATTATTATTTTTGACTCTCTTTCTTTCTCTATCTCTTCACCTGTTTTTTTGTTTCAAATAATAAATATGTATTTATGTGAAATGAACAGTAACGCGATTAAATGGAAGAAATGTCCTTTTAATTAATTAACATGTGTACAATGGATATAAATATATATATATATATATGTGTGTATATATATATGTATATATATATATCAGCTTGAATGTAAGACTCAATATAATAAATGACAAATATTAAAATAGAATTTATTTGCGAAAGAAGAAATAGTTATTGTTGATTTAAATAGAACATTTCTATAAGAGAACTAAATAGATTTGGAACATAGGAAATATATCAGATTCGTTACTTCTAATTTAATCAATTCTAATTCAAATATAAAAGAAACAATACAACGTCACCAATTATCAATTGATATTAGTGGCTAGTTATTGCGTCCATCGACACTATGTAATGCAATTATTTTTTTATCAATTTAAAAACATCTAAACAGAATAAATCATTTTAATACTTGTCGAAGAATAATTTTAATTTTTGGTTTATTTATTTATTTTTTATTTCCCTCTAACTTCACATAAATTTTAATGGTTTTATTTATCTATAATTTTTCAATACAACAATATTTATGCGATCATTCAGTACATTATAAAAATGATAATCTATATAAGAGATAATTATTTAGTTATGTCAGTTTGTATATTTTATCATATAAAAAAAAAAAAAAAAAAAAAAGAAAAGAAAAAAGAAAAAAAAATTGATTTCTCTTTGGAAGAATATATATGATTTTCCATCTTGGATTTTAGATTCAAAATAAATAAACATATTAAAACTTATATGTGTACACAGAGTATAATGATTATCTGTCTCTCGATGTTATTTTAATTATATCACATGTCATAGTTTTTCATATATATATATAATTAGTTTACCATTTAAATGCAATAACAATCAATGTGATGACATTATCATTTGAAATATTCCATTATTCCTGTTACATTATAATAAAATACAAATTTTTATATAGATAGACTTTTAATGATCTATCAAAGCAGACACTATCGCACCATACTTTAATCTATAGTTTATTACATATTATGTAAAATAAGTGTATATAAAATACATTGCTAACTATTTTTTCGCCAATCTTTATACAGAGGTAGTTTTAAGGCAGACGGTTTTCTACATTTATATCATTGTGTGATTCTTGTAATTACTATTATTTATAGCGGTACACAATTTATACTTATCTATTTTATCGAAACAAAACAAATTAGAATTTGAGTGAATTACAGTAGATATTAAATATATACATACATATATATATACATACATATATATATACATACATATATATATATATATATATATATATATATATATATATATACACATACATACACACTGTAATTTACCTAATATTATAATGATGTACCGGTTTCCGATAAAGTTCAAAGGCACTACCTCTTTGCTCCCTGCTTCCAGCTAAATCTAAACCATTAGGTTCTCTATTGTGAGTAGAATTACCAGAAGCATAAGTTTGGCTTCCACTTCCATGACTGTTATTATGATTGAAACCATTATGATTAATGTTGTTTCGATTATGCGTGGAACTGAGATTTATTTGACCAGCACTATTTGAATGAGAATGAGAAGTCACAGGAGGACTAGAGTGTGGATGAGTATGACTCAGGCTATGACTATGTATTGGCGGAGTTATGTGGCTGTGATTATGATGCGAATTTACTTGGTTATTTTCATTATGACGAGTGGGAGGTGGAATATTATAATAATACTGACTGTTGTTGCGTCTAACGTTGCTATTATTTTCTACCTAAAAGGAAGTAGAAAACTATAAGTTTTTATTATTATTATTTTTTTTTTTTTTTTTCATTTAATAATATCATAATATTGCAATACTCTCTCTTACTCCATTATGCACGTGTGAAGTGGCAATAGAATAACTTTTCGTGTGCTGATAAGCATTGTTTCCATTATTTCCATTGTTTCCATTATTACCATTATTTCCACTATTTTCATCTCCTACTAAAGTTGTTTGGGGTGGCCTGTAATTCTTGGGCTTTGGCGGTGGTATGGGTTTGTATGATCCTCCTGGCTTATTTTGTGGAATTGATATTGGTTTATAGTCTGTGGTCCTGCTATAATATACAAAGCAAAATTTCTAGCTTACTCAGGCGCAGAGAAAACAGGAAACTAAGTGATCAAGGATATTTGATTTTAAACTAAAGTATCTCTACTAGATATATATATTCTACAAGCTCTTCTTAATGGATGAGGTGTTCTTGCCACCATCCTACAGAAAAAAATGTCCGTATATATGTGTACATACATATACACACACACACACACACAATCATATATATATTTATGTATATATAGGATGAATTTAAAAAAAACTTTTATACTGGAGAAATTTTCGCATTATTCCACGAAGAAATTTTTTGATAAACGCATTATTCTCTTACCTATATTTGGCATAATCTGTTCTAGTAGCTTGAGGTTCTTGTGTAGCTACAGGTTGAGCTGTAGATCTTGTAAATCTGTATGGGTCATGGGCTCTGGCTGACATACCACTACTTTTTAAGTCATCAGGTACATTCGGGCCTAAACGATTGGTCGATGTATTCAAATTAACACCAGCATAACTTGAATTTCCATTAGTATTATTATTATATGAATCATATGAAGACATACTATCGTAACTTCCCTATAAATATATACAAAGGTAACATGAATTTCAAAAGCACATTAATATCAATATCGAAATAACTTACCGTTTTTGTTTGTGTCCTTTCAAGAGATGACGTAGCATTTACTTTATGAGGCGATGCATTTATATAATTTCCAACGTCCAAAACAGAATCAGTTTTATTAATGAGCCTTTCTTGCGTAGAACGTACCGTTCCTCGTGTTGTTTGATTTGTTGGTTTAATATTTCGATCGATCCGTGGTGGTAGATCCGGAGGACTATGATGTGGAGATCTAGGTTCGAATGAAGTACCGAGATATTCAGGAGAACCAGATTGATTACTCGTTTGTCCCGATAAAGAAAAACCATATTTGCTATCTCCGGCACCTCCTTGTGATCTTCTTTTATGTTGTTCAAAAGATTGCTAAAAAAAAAAAAAATTATAATTGCACATATCCATATTTTTTACAATATAAGAAATATAAGAAACTTTGCACTTACTTGATAATTTGTAGAATATGGAGGAGGTGCAGTTGTATCGTCTTGGGTAGCAATACTTGGATCTGAACTACTTTTCAAGCGTATAGGTGGACCCAATGTCCCAGGAAGCGCTGGTGCAGGGCTTAATTCCAGATCACTCTCCGGAGAGGAAGCGTAGGAGAGGCGAGAAGTCATCGGGAATAGGAAATCATCCGAGAGGGCTTCTTCCGGCTACGATCATAGGACACAAAGGACAAAACATTACATGAACATTACATAAACATTACATGACGCATTCAGTGTATTTATACTAGTAAAATTTAATAGAATTATGGCAGGTATATAAACATAAAATGTATTTAGTCAATGAGTATATATATTTTGTTTTTTAGATAGTGCATTGTTAGTATTATATGATAACATATATTATAAATATTTTATAAACTTGTAAAATAAATTTTTGTGTAATATAATTTAATATTTAATATAAAAGAAATATATATAATAATAATAATAATAATAATAATAATAATAATAATAATAATATTCTAAAAAAAAATTTTGTTTGAATTAAAATTATATATAAATTATATATAATATTTTTTTGTTTGGATTTATAAAGTAATATTTATATATTACTTTCTATGTTCATAGTCAGAAAAAAAAATACAAACATATCTACAAATATACAGGCTATTAATATATATGTATTAATCTGTAATATAATAATGAAAATAGAGATTATGCAATGATTAAGATCTATAAACATATACATAGATCAAGTTTTATATTAATATATATTAGTTAATGAGAAAAATTTGGGCATTTCATGTTACATTAATAGTTTTTTGTTAAATTCATATTATATGGTTATTTTGTGATTGTGAGTAATGTATCATTAATTCAATATTCTTAATTTTTAGAAGTACATGCTTGTTAAAGTTTAATTCTGATGTTATATAGTGTTCATGGCACATGAAGACACTGTATCCAATAATTTATATAAACGATTATAAACAAAGGCTTTAACATATTTCAACAAAGACTTAACGAAGAAATTTGTGTTAAAAGTTATATATGTTATCTGAAGGGTATGTTTGGACTTTATATGTAGCCGAAAAATTGCTCACGGATGACGTCTGAAGCATTGGGTAAGGACATAAGTGATGCATGATTTTCCATAAAAGAGGAATAACAATAAGGTGATAGAAAGGTATTATTCTTATTTTGATCATAGTATACTTTATCTTCAGGATGTGACATGAGAGGAGATTGCGGAGAATATGAATGGTAAGGTGGAAGGTATAGATCTGACACCATATATCGGCTACATATTGGCTACAATCAATAGACTTATTATTTAAACACAGATCTTCTTGATCAAGTATATCTTCAATATAATAAATTTTTGAATCAATTTCATAAATATGCCCATTTCATAAAATTTGTCAATGTCAATTTTAATTTTTTAATTATAAATATATATATATATATATATATATATATATATGTACTTATTTATTTATTTATTTATTCTTTATTATTAGTTTGATTTTGATAGTTGATTATATTATAAAAATGATGTTAATATATTTAAACATCATTTTTTTCTCATGATATATCTGACAATAACAAATATGAACATTTTGTTATAGAACAAAGATATAAATAATAATTAATATCAATTGTTTGATGAAGAAAAAAAAATTGCAAACATTAAATAATACCTTTGTTTGGCTCATCCATAAAGATCCCTGCTGCTGACGATCTATCAGTTCTCTAAGTTTTCGATACCAAGCTTCAGGAGTTGTAAGTGTGATAACAGCACTAAATATGTGTCCCCAAATTTTATCCAATTTCTGACATTGTTCTAAAAGTTTTTTGCTACTTTTGTGCGCTGATCTGTGGATATTAAAAAAGGAACGACATAATTAATATAAATATATATATATATACATATATATACTTAGTTACTTAACAAACTTACTTGGGAATACCTGCTCTCATTTCTTTAATAACTTGTTTTGTTTCAGCTTTTAAAAATATCACAATAGGATAAAACTGGGCATAATTTAATCGATCTACAGCATTCGGAGTAATATCTAGAAGAGCATGTTTTCCTCTATCCATTACTTCTCTGATGGCACTCAAACGGATTATACCCGATGATTTAGTATTTTTATTACCGCTGTCTTCCATTTGACTTTCCATTTCTAAAAACGTAAGCATCTCTTAGGTCATTATGATGTACGACATGTATTATGAAAATTTCACGACTCACTTCGATTTACTCACGTGGGGAAGTAAATTTGTCGGGAAAATCCTTAAGTAATTTTTCCCTACCAAGATCAGCGACAGGGCCAAAAAGTACGACTGGTCTAACAAAACCAGGATGTCGTAGAATGACTCGTTCGTAAGCTGGAAATTTACTGACACTGTCGGAGAATACCACATCGTCCCAATGATCCTAAATAATTCAGAAAAAAAAAAAAAAAAGAAAAGAAAAGAAAATATTAGATAATATAAGATATTATAGAGAGAGAAAAAAAAAAAGAAAAAAGAAAAAAAAAGATAATAATTGTAAGTTAATGGGTATCCTCACCCTTCCCAGAGATTTTGAACGTCTATGACTACTTCTTCTTCTCCTAAAGAAACTACCTCTGCTCTCGCTAGCGCTTAATTCCTTCTTCGTTGCATTGAATTGTGCAGTAGCAAGTTCCTCGGCGCGTGCTTTGTTTGGAATAATACCTTTCTGTACTTCTTGATTGTTTCTTCCAATTCGGAATACCTGCCAAGAACCTACGACTCCATTATGAAGAGTGTCTACCACGTGAAAGACGTCACCACTGCGAAAACTCATTTCTCCCTTTTCAGGTTGTTCATAATGAAAATGTGTCCTGATAAAATATTAATATTTTTTTGTTATATACTATGTTCTCTCTCTCTTTTTCCCCCTCTCTCCCTTCCCCCCATCTTTTTTTCATTTAACCCTAGTTATGCCTGTGAGATGTAGAAAACTAGATCAATTTTGAGATCAATTAAACAAATTTTTGTGCATTGCATGTTTCATGAGAATTTTTTTTCTATAGGACAGAATTGAAAAAACCAACTGATTTTATTATTTCCAAGGCTTCGAATAAAGAATATATAGTATTTATTTTTAGAATGAAAATTATTCATTTTTTATAAATGAGAACTGTTCAAAGTGCCTAGGTTGCGCACGCATCCTGCGCATCTTCTTGTAGCGCATATTCCAATTGAAATTATTTTCAAGTGTGCAGAACTAGGGTTAAAGACGTTTAAATTATTAAATAAATGACAGGACGTACTTGATGTGAAACGAATCACCTCTACCGGATGCAACTATTTGATCGTATTCCTGACGTCGATGCTGTACGATCAAATCGATTTGTTCTTGAAGACTAAGAAGAAACAATACCGCTTCCTCTCTGGTTACACCTTTCATGTCCATGTCATTTACCTATTTATAATCATTGCAACAAAATATCAATGTGAAATATATTAAATTCCTTTAAAACTCCATCGACGTTCCTTTTGCGCTTACCTTTAAAATTTTATCACCCGGTTGAAGACCTTGAAGAGAGGCCGGACTTCCAGCTTGAACCGCCGTTACAAAAACCCCAGTTTCATTTCCTCCGCACAATCGTACCCCTACCGAACCTTCCTTTTGGAAGGTAATGAATCGTGGATCCGGCCTAATTTCAAATAACATTTTCATTTTAGTTTATTTTATCATTTGTTTAATTAAATATTAACAAATATTAACACGATCTCTATATACGTAATAAAAAACTTACATTGGCTGTTTCGTTCGTTGTGTAATAGAGTCCTCATCGTACATCTGTCTCCGGGAACTGTAATAATCTATAAAAATAAAAAAAAAAAAATAAAAAAAGAAAGATATTTATACGATCGATAATTTTATATAGTTAACATTTTTAAACATTTAATTGTATACCTTCAGGTCTTGGAGGTGGTGGTCTAGGTGGATCTACTGTTGGTGTAGCTGGTAAATCCAATTGACTCAAAGAAACGTCCATTAAAGGACCTCTTGAACGTCCCCTTGGAACCAGATTACTTTTATCTTCCAATGGTTGTCTTGTTGGTGGTGGAACGTATAAATTTTGACTGCTGTAACTCGCACCGGACAAATACTCGCCGCTATCAGTTTTAACTTGTTGTTGGACATGACAACACGAAGAATCTCTGGTAATAACGATGGACAAACGATCCTTACATTGATCCATTAACTTTCTTGCTTCCTTTAGACTCATATTATCAGCGGCAATACCGCTTATTCGCGTTAATATATCGCCAGGTTTAACTCCAATATTTTCTCGAGTAACCTCTTTTACGTACAATCGACAACCCAATACAATTCCAAAATCTACAAAGTTTAAAATGGACAAACTTTAAAAACATTTCTTTTCAAACAAAACCTTTTTTACTTCGACGATTATAAAAGGTACACAATTTAACAAGCTCGTTATATCCTCTCTCTCTCTCTCTCTTTTTCTTTCTCTTTCTCTTACCATCTTTTTTATTATTTCGCGTGAGCGTAAGTCGATGAGTTTGCGGAGCAGAATTGCCTTGGCAAGTTGATGAGTTCGACGAAGCTCTCCGTTTAACGACCAATAAAACGGTCGATCCAGAGTCCCGAAGAACTCGGACAGCTGCTCCATAATCGGCACCTTCTAACGATACTCCGTTTGCGGAAATGATGCGATCGTTTACCCTAAAAACACACAATCGATTTGTACTTATCATTCGTAACGTCAACCATCTTGTTCTTACTACTTATGGAAACTCGATTCGCCATAAAACGAGATAACATACTGTCGTAACAATTTCTAATGTAAAACGTCTCGTGCCGTACTCTACTTTCTATTTTACGTTTACGATAGTTATAATCTAATTAGAACTAGAGAACTATATATAGATATATATACAAATAATCGATTAAACATCAATGCCCATATCGTTACATTTTGCAACGATAATAAGTGAAAATTATTTAGTGGGTTATTAGAAAAAAAAAAAAAAAAAAAAAAAAAATGGCGTTCAATTGAATGCTTCATAGAACGATTAAGAGAACGAAGACATTAAACCGAGACCCTTGAGAAACGCTTTCTTTTTCTTTTTTTTTTTCCTTTGCTTTTCTTTCTTTTCTTTTTTTTTCCTTTTTTCTTTTTTTTTTCTTGCGTTCAAGATGAAAGATCATGGCGGAGAGTCGATGCCCTCCGGCTATAGACTGAATCTTTCTTTTAATTTTTTCTCTCTCTCCCTCCCACCCCTATCTCTCTCTTTAAGAAACATTACTCACTGCAACTTTCCTTCCGCAGGTCCGGCCTTCAAAACGTCGGAGATTGCAATAGCTGGGTCACCATTGGTAAAATGTGGATTATCACGACCACCAGATACCGCGATACCAAAACCATATCCTGGTACTCTGGTAACAGTGACCTGATGTATCTCCCATCCTCTATCTCCGCTCTAATGAAAAAAAAAACAAAAAAAAAACAAAAAAAAAAAGAAAAAAGATCAAAGAAAATTTGTCATATTTGATTATTATTATTATTATTATTATTATTATTATTATTATTATTATTATTATTATTATTATTATTATTATTATTATTATTATCGGTATTAAAAATTTCCACCTTATCTTGTAAATAACCATTAATACGATAAAAACATGAGGTTTTTATGATGGTGGTTGATAAAAGTGACTAAAAGTGCTAAACGTTGCAAAATATTAAAATCTCCGCGTCACAGACCGTTAAGCAGGAATAATGCGTTAAATTCGTGGGAATTATATTTCTTTTAGAATATCGCAAAAAAAAAAAAAAAAAAAAGAACTATACACTACGGTGGTGTGATTTACGAAGCGTTGAAAGGAGAGAGTCGTCATATATAATAAGATACTTTCTTCGAAGAAAAATTCAAAGCGTATCGTCTGTCAGACACAAGATGGGTCTTATATACTCTAAGAGTATATATATATATATATATATATATATATATAAAATACTTTTCCTGGAATTCTATAGAACGTTGACAAGTATTCAGAACGGATAGTTGTCCTAGTTGGATATTTTTTTTTTCCTTTTCCTTTTTCTTTTTCTTTTTTCTCTTTTTTCTTTTCCAATCGCGGTACACATCGGTATGCTAATGGTTAAGAAAATTCCTTAAAAAGTTTCACGCATTGAAATAGCGGAGGTAGTACCATAGGCGTATATAGGTATAAAGTACATAGAATAAGTCTCTTTCTAAATTGCAAACACGAAGGTTTTCTCCTACGCGAGTATTTACGATATGCAAGGAATGCGCAATGATTTACGTTAGCCCGCGAAAGAAACGATTATTTATTGATCAATATTGCCAATCGAACGGGATATCGTATTTTAGTTTTTTTTTTACATTTGTTAAATTAGAAAGAAAGGAAAAAAAAAGAAAAGAAAAAGAAAAAGAAAAAAACAAGAAAACAAATAAATAGCATTATATCTTCGATATATTTCATTCTAAAACGATCCCTCCATTAATAATTCAACATTAAAACCGTTGTTAGGATTTTATTATCGATATCATGCAACTTTATCATTATAACAAAAATAAAACGCTGTAGTACTTCGATTCATAGTAAAAGTAATTAATTCTTCTTTAAAATTATTCATATAAAAAACAAATGTATTTGGAAAGACTAACGAAGGGACTCTCTTAACTTTTCTTTGCTTCTTCCTTACTCTAACCCCACTTTAAACTCGTAAACAATAGAGAGTTCGGTCTCACGACGATCTTCTTTATTTTCCCCCAACGTCCCTTTTAAATTAGTTAAAAATCTTTCTTATCCAATATTAAGATCTTATTCCACAATTGTAATGTATTACATTATACGAAAAGAAAAAGGATGCATCTATCTATCTATCTATCTTTATCTGTCTGTCTATCTATCTATTTTGTTGAATGAAAAATATAAAATATTACAATCGATCTATCTCGATTAATCGACTGACTACCTGACTGTCCAATCCTGACGAAGATGTATGAAGGGCCGCCGGATGACTCGAGGAGGAAGAATTCAATGGTGATCCTGAATTTCCAACGTGACAATTCCCATTGGTACCACTTCCAATACCAACACCACTTTCGTTTCTATCCATCTTCGTTTATATATGTACGACGTATAATTCGTAGAACTTGAATCGATGCAACACAACGCGCGAATAACAACGACGACAATGATGAAGACGACGACGACGACACAACGACGACGACGACGACAACGACAACGACGACGACGATGACAATAATGATGATGTCAAGACGTTCTTACGAATGATCCAAGAAACATGATTAACCTCAAATACCCACAATCTAATTAATTCTTCCCCCACACGAACGCACACACAATATATCTCACCCACACGATCTTGTCATTATAACAAAATATATCCCATTTATTATTTTCTATCTTTCTTAATTTTCTTTTCTTTTTAACAAATTTTTTCTCGTTAAAAAAAAAAGAAAAACAAAAATGAACAAAAAAAAAAGAAGTAAAAAGAGATCACCAGCAATCGGACGAGATGGCACTTGTTGGAAAAAATTCCAAATTCCCGCGCATTTTCACAATACGCGTTTTGTCGAAATCGATTTTGTTTATTATTCGAAAAGATCGATCTTTCTTTTTTTTTTTTCTTCTTTAAAAAAAAAAAAAGAAAGAAAGAGAAGATATTCACGCGAGAAAAATATTTTCGTCGTTTTGATCTTTTCTTGAACTTTCGCGAGAAAAATATCGTACTCTTGAACGTGTAAACGCACGAAGAGATGAAATACTTTTCAAGGACACTACTATTGCGATTCAAGTTTATTCCTTATTCCCTCTCGAGGCTGCTAATTGATCCTGTTTTTTCTCGATTCGCGAACCGAGCACACACAACACATAACACACGCGCGCATTAACACACAACCTCATGAATATTTCTTCTCCTTCTTTTGTTTTTATCTCTCGAATAAAAGATATATATATATATATAATCTATATAATATATATATATATACGAATGAAGAGACTCCGTGTCCAGAGAACACTCTCGTTTGCCTTGATACTAATCACATTCGTTCTATAATTTTCTTAACTTTTAATAATATATTCTTGGTCATCTATTCTCTTCTTTTTCTTTTTTTTTCTCTTTTCTTTTCTTTTCTCTTCTTCCAAATTAATTCCGTGAATATACGTGCGTAGCGTGCGTATATCTTCAATCTTCCCTCTTTTCCGTCGTTTTCTTTGTCGGTCCTCGATTCTTTCTTTCTTTTTGTTTTTTTGTTTTGTTTTTTTTTTTTAATCACGATATTTAAGAAATTTCAATGCAAAAGAAAAAAAGAAGAAGAAAAAGAAAAAAGAAAATGAAAGCTTCGTACAAGGAAAAATTTTTCGGGTCTTCAAATTCTCTCAATCTTTTTCAAAAAGTTCGATCATCACACATAGTAGAATAAATCATTCCGGTTCATTGATCCTCGTTGTCATCCACCAGCATCATCATCATCATCACTAACACCACCACCACTATCACTATCACCCCTCCCTCCCTCCCTCTGCTGCACTTTCTTCCAAATCGTTTTCTTTATCTTTCTTTCCTTTTTTCTCACACAGATAATATAAACAGACGCACATACACACGCGTACACGCTCTGTCTCTCTCTCTCTCTCTCTCTTTCTATCACTTAGTTCTTTATTTATTTTAATTCCTTTTGTTTCTCTTTTCTTCCTTCCCTTTTTTATTTCTTCTTCAAAAGATTTCCTATCTATTAGTTTCTCTAACACTAACTCGTTTCACTCTCGACATCATAGCATATATATATATATATATAGAGAGAGAGAGAGAGAAAAGAGTGGTAGAGAAAGATCGGGCTTCTAATCGAAAATCTCTTTCTTTGCGATCGAATAAAAAAAAAAAAATAATAATAATAATAAAAAAAGAGATACAGACTTGTTCTAAGATGGTCTTCTTCGAAAGTTCGATGTGTTTATGTCGGTCTTGCCGAAGGAAACGTTCGAGAGATCTGTATCTCCTCTTCCACGCTTCATCTCCAAAGGAAGAGATATAGTACGAAGGAGTCAACGATACAAGAGAGAGAGAGAGAGGAAGGAGAAGGAGGAAGGGAGAGAGGGAGAGAGATAGATAGAGACGAAGAAACAGAGAGGGAGTGTGTATGTAAGAGAGAAAGAGAGTGAGAGAGAGAGAGAGAGAGAGAGATCGTGTGGCCACTGTCACGAAAAATCACGAATGCGTTTCTTGCTTTCTCTCCCTCTTTTTTTCTTTTTCCAAACTCCTCGTTTTTCCTTAATTTTTAATCGGAGATCACTTTGAAATAAAACACTTTTTCTTTCTGAGCGAGTAACTTGTGAAAAGAAGTAATAATAGTAGTAGTAGAGTAATAGTAGTAGTAGTAGTAGTAGTACTGTAGTAGAAGAAGAAGAAGAAGAAGACGATGAAGAAGAATAAGAGATGAAGGTGGAGGTGGTGGTGGTGGTGGTGGTGGTGGTGGCGGAGGAGGAGGAGGAGGAGGAGGAAGAGGAAGAGGAGGAGGAGCAGAAGAAGAAGAAGAAGAAGAAGGAAGGTAAAGGACGTCCTTTCGGGATAAGGAATCCTGGTTATACAAGCCGTGTCTTGCTTCTTCTATCGGCTGGTAGACTGGTCGTAGCAGGTCGGTTGGAGAAGGACGAGGTCGGGGTATAGGGAAAGAGAAGGCACACAAATATACCACTGTGTGCGTTTAATACTCTTGAAAGAGAAGAGAAAGAGAGAGGGGGAAAGAAAAAGAGAAACGAGAGAAACGAGAAAGCACGATATGCGGGATATGCCGGAGGAGAAGAGAAAAGAAGAGAAAAGAAAAAGAGAAAGGGTGGGGGGTGAGAGCGAGAGAGAGCAACACCGGTTTTGCTTGCTTCAACTTGTCCGTAGTTGGCAAGACTGCAGATAGAGGTCGGTACCTTCGAAATAGCTTTCTTTGTCGTCGTCGTCGTCGTTGCTCGTCGATCTCGTCGTATAAATGTATGTATGTATGTATGGTACGTATTAATGTATTGAAAAAGTGTTTAACGCACACCAGGTTAATATGAAAGACGTTAACTCTCTGAATATGACACACCTTACACCACCAGCTGGAATGCTCTTCTCCGATGTCGTGTACTTAGGTGTGTCCCTTCCGTGTCTCTCTCTCTGTCCTTTTTCTTTTTTTTCTTTTTTTTCTTTTTTTTTCTTTTTTTCTTTTTTTCTTTTTTTTCTTTTTTTTCTTTTTTCTTTTTTTTTTTTTTTATATCCTTTCAATCGTCTCCAACTTTATCTTTTTATTATTTTCATATATATGATCCTCTTCATAATTGATTTCTTTTTCAAATCGTATCAGGGAATTATTGCGTTCTCGTTCCATCGATATGTATGCGTATCACTTTTTTTTTCTTTCGACGATCATCGAAAATAAATCGAAATATTCCTAAGAGAAATCTTTAAGAAGAACTTTTTTTACTCACAAAGATTTTTTTTTCTTTCTCTCTCTCTTTCTTTCTCTCTATCTCTTTCTTTATCTCTATTTCTCTCTCTCTCTTGTGCTCTTCTACCTGCTGTTTCCTGTTTCACAGATCTCAACGTATTATACCTCGAAGGAAAATCCATTTGGAATACATAGAGAGGTTTGTTTCTTGGGATACGGCATGGAATGCATACGCGCCGATCCTTCCAAAGTGATGATTCACGCGGTCTCTCTCGTCAGAACGGTAGAAAGGGAGAATGGGGAAACTACAAGAGAGTGGGCCGTTTAAATCACGTTGTCCGTAACTAAACTGGAATTCTCTCGCAGGTTTTACGAACTCGTAGTTTATTACATGTATACGTTTTGCAAGATAGGAAACAACTAAAAGGGACGGGCAAGGATGGGGAATATTGAAAATTTTTCACGACATAGAGAAAAACATTGAACACCTGATGAGGAAAAAGGAAAGAAGTGTCCTTAGAAGGTCGATGCGTGCGTATTTTAGATGGACTCGGATCTTTTCGCAGGTAGTTTTTATTGTAAGCCGTTCGCAGGTAAACGAATTTATCGCAGCAGGTAGTTTTTCCTCTCCTGTTGCAGGTAAAATGATCTAAGGTAACACGAGAAGCTTTGCTTGGAGATTCTCCTTTTTCAATATGGCTTCTTTTAGACCTATGCGATTCTTTTGTTTTTTTTATCTTTCATCTACCATGCACAAAAAGTCTAGTAGAGTAAGCATAGATAAGTAGAATGAAAATTTTTATTATTATTGTTTTTATTAAATGTCTCTTTGTTTGAAATATCAATGTGTAAAAAAGTTCTCTATTTCCTTGTCTGAGAGTAATATGAGTAATATGGGGAAAAATTCTAAATTGTATCATTTTTTTTTTATTTATTATTTTATAAAATAAGGAAAAACAATCCCTAGTTTACTCGATAAGGGACGGGTTTGGAAGGGCTATGACTTAGGGGATTTAGAAAGTTCTTTGAAGAATTCAGACTGGACGTGGTTATGATGTTCGAAAGGGGCGTGGTTAAGAAAGGGCGTGTCCCGATGGGCGTGGCCGTGAAATCTGATCTATGAGGTTTTGAGTGAAGCGTAGCTTGTGTGGTAGTTTAGAAGGGGAGTGTCTTAGGAAGTTTGAAAGGGCGTGTTCTGAAAGTTCGAAAGGGCAGGCTGTTCAGAGAACATGTTTACAGTTGAGGAAATCTGCTCTTTTTTTTACATATAGTAAGACGCACCCCTCTCCCAATCCAGTAAATCACGCCCCCTTCATCTCTCCAATAAGCTACGCTCCTTTCAAGCTCCTGCTGTAAGCAACGCCCTTTTGCCCACCCCAATAACCTACGTCTTTACGTTAAATATAATAATTTTTTTTATCCTCATATTATTCTTAAATGAAGCGGAAGATACTTGAAATTCAAGATCTGAAATCTCAATGTTTCTTGAAAAGAACATTGTATAGTAAATAATAATAACAAAAAACTGATCCGGAGGATACGTTTATCCTGTTTGATTTTTTTTTTTTATTCTATTGATTTCCATATTCCATATTCATTTTATAATAGAACAGTAATATTAATTTGTCTGATAAGTTTCATTAAGCTTTGACAATCATTCAAAAATTAAGATAATAAATAAAGTGAATAAATACATTATAATCATAGCAAATATCTTGCAGTATTTACAAGGCCAAATATCTCTGTGTTGCTTTTGGATCTTGCTTTTAGCTGTCGTAAGAATATAAATGCGAATGAGTGATTGTTTTTATCAGTTCTAAATGTATATGAAAGAAATGATATACTCTTTGCATCCTGCATAATCGTATCGATTATTCATGCTAAGAGAATAATTGATTAATATTTGCATGTCTTTATGATTTGTCCAATGCATGTAATTATGTAAAATTTTTCTTTTTCTTTTTCTTTTTTTTTTTTTTTTTTTTTTTTGTTAATAAGCTTCTTAACTCGTGCTAAATGATTTACATTTTTAAAAAATTCTTTTTAGTGCTATTAATCACAATTGTATTTCTTATACAATTTTACGTAAGATTGATTACATTGATTGACCATTAAATTTGAATCGAAATAAGCTTATTTATTTAATAATATAATACATTTTTTTCCTCGGCAGTCTTTAGAAGAAAAATTTCTCTAATCCAACATGCATCGTGTATGATAAACTAATTAGAAGTGACATAAATTGGAACTATTTTTTACCTCTAAGTGTCACAAGAATGCGGATGTGGGGAAAGCCATAATCAGCTTATTTCACAAGGTGTACTAACGAGAGCATCAGGAAAGAAACCTTTTATTTATGTGTAAAGTTACGTTCTAGGGTCAACATAAACTATGACATATAAATCTGCTATTTTGACGTTTATAATAGTATCAATATCTCTCTCAGGATTTATATTATATAAAAATGTAAGAAAATTTTCATTATTCTCAACCAAAGTAATGAAAATGAATAAAAAGAAAAAAAAAAAGGAAAAAGAAAAGTTTTTTTTATTAAAATTACTTCCTTACTTATTAATCTCTAAAAAAAAAAAAATATATATATATATATATATATATATATTTGCAAACTTTATTATACATAATCATTTAGAAAAACGCTATAATATTCATTGTCAAGATGATAATGAAACTTTTCCCTCATTATAAGAACATTTCTCAAGAATAAAGAACGAAGGAAGCTTCTTATAATGCGTCTAATTAACTTCTACTCTATTAAATTACGAGCTTCCTCGTATGTGTACATCCAATTAACCATTATCTTACAAAGTTAACGTCAAATATGTAAGAAAGCAAAGGAAATGAGAAAATCGATCGGTTCATGTCAGAAATCCTTAAATAGTAGATCCTGGCCTATAAAAACGACATAATTTAAATCTATCGATCGAAAGATTATATTACTTATCTAATAAATAAAAAAAAAAAAAAAAAAAAAGAAAAAAAGAAGTAAAAAACATTTAATTTTTAGTACATACCGTGCGTTTCCGTCGAGCTCGTTTTGAGATCCTTTTACCGTCGCCAAATAAAAAATCATCATTGGGAAAATGGTGCAATCCGTTGTACGTTTTCCCAACAATTTTTTTCTTCGTCATAACTTTTCTCTTTCTCTTGGATATCTCACGTCGTCTCCTTTTGTTTCGAAACAATTTGCCAAAAATTTTCATGACTTATTGTTAGCTAACACAATAATTTTGAAACATACAAGTAACGTTGATATAACAACACTGATCTTCGCTCGGGTATGTTATTCATGGCGTAGTTGAAACCAAGTTGGATTACCATACGCGTTTGGGGGCGGTTTCGATCATGGCTTATCGTACGTTGCCTGCTGTGTATATCAGATTAGTCCGCTGGTTGAATCTTCCATGTAATTCTATTTTCATCAGTATCGGATATTAAATTAATCAACCGAATACGAAGCCATAGTGTAAAGCTGTTGGACACTATGATAGTAATTGTATATATATATGTTCTTTTTAATTTCAAATAATACAAATTAAAAGATATATTAAAAAATTAATGTAACTTAATATGATGTCAAATAGATTCTCTTATGAATATTACTATGTAATGCATCAGGATGCAATGTATTTGGGATAACATCCGTTAAATTTATATTATTTACAATTAAAAATTTATAAATATATAAATAATATATGGACAATCATCACATATGGTAACTAATAACACTTGATCCCAATAATTGTTTTTACATTCACTTTTAAAGAACGCATAGTTTAATGAACGTTACTACCACCTTAGGTACTTACGATCGATAGGGCGAATTAAAAATTAAAAGTTACGTCTTTGAAAAGAAAAAGCGAATATCATTCGTGTGTAAAAATATCGCGAAGAGACTAACACTAAACACATCGTTCCTCTCGTGCAAGCACGAGAATCAAAATAACAAAGAAGACGTTGCTTGTATTAGAAGCCTTAGATGGTACTACAATCGCTTATGAATGGTGTCCCTACCCTCGTTCTCTAAACATTTCCTTATTCTACTTTATTCGAGTTTTTCAAAAACTTAAAAATAGATATTATTTTTAATAATATTGTTTCTTTTTTTTCTTTTTTTTCTTCTTTTTTTTTTATATATATATATACTTTACAAACATTTTAATTCTCATAATAAAGCAAATTTAGATGAGAATGTTTTTTCTACGATAAAGGTCTAGACTTTGAAAGAATAGAGAAGTAAAGAAATAAATACATAAATGTCTACTTGAAATGAACAACAGTACAAATAACGTTAGATAAGATTATACGATAGAATGATTAGTATTGTTAACACAATCTACGTTTCCATAGTATATTATACATATTCATAATGATTACACATTATGTGCTTATAAGTTTTTAAATAATCAGATACATATTACATAGAGATTTGATATATAGAAAATAATTCTTTTATATATAAATTCTTCGTTCATATATTTATATAAATTTTATTTCTTCGTATTATATAAAGAAATAAAACAGAAATTTTTTTTTCTTTTAAAAGATAGATCTAAGAGAAAAATCTTGAATTTATTTTTTTAAATATATTGAATGTTTTGCAAAACAAATAAACACATTGTCTTAGATCTTATTTAATTAAATATCACAGATTCTCTCTCTCTCTTTCTCTCTCTCTCTCTCTCTCTCTGTCTCTATGGAAAAGAAAAAAGAATATTTGAGATAAAAGCGTAAGAAGAGAAGAAGAGAGTATCTCCTCTCGACTCTGAATTGAATTGACTGCGTGCGACGATACAAATAAACGTAATGTGTAAATCTTTGAGATAAGGTACTACCATTGGTGAGGGCAAAGAACATGCAGCTTGTAAGTTTCTGACAGTTTGTTCTGACTCTTAAAAGACGGCTATCTCAAATAAACGGGCCGAAATAGAAACGTTAAAGTTCCTTCGATGACAAAACGTTTCCATTGTTCGGCAAATTGAATATGGATCCGAATAAGAAGGAGGACGTTAATACTTGGTGCTCAAAAACTGAACCATTTTTAGGATATAACAATGAAAATCCTATAAAGAATCAGAATAATGAAGAGACAGTTCAAACTTCTCAAGAGGGAAAAAAACTTTTTCAATATATCATTACCTTGAGCGGTGAGTTTTTAATTGACAATAAAATTATAGAAAAAGTTTTACCTTTGTTCCTAAAATTGATAACTTTCATGAAAAAAAAAAAAAAAAAAAAAAAAAAAAAAAAAAAAAAAAAAAAGTTACTTATTAATGAAATATTACTTTATAATTGCTTGGGAAAAAAACAACTGATTTGTATGGCGGTCGATAAATACTTATAAGTGATTTTCACCCGGTTCATTCTGGATTTATGCAGCCAATAAAGATACCTTCGCACTTCTTCTTTGCGAACTATAGTAAGCTCTATTAGAGATAATATATCATGTAGTATGATTAATTTTCTTCGGTTCCTAGATGAGATCGTATATTAAAAACTTATCTTTGTTATCGAAATTTTTCGAGCCTAAAACTACTCCATCCAGATAGTCTTGCATACATATATATATATATATATTACGTATCAAAATATATGTATCTCTCGATTTCAATTGAACAATATTTCTTTTTCTAATATATATATATAATTGTCTTATTTTTTTTAATCATTCTCTCACATATACAAACGCACACACATACATTAACGATTAAATATAAAAATATGAATATTATTTTACATGGCATTCATTATTTCCAGCCAGTCTAATTGGTATGCAAAGTGGTATGACATTAGGATGGACATCACCAATTTTACCATTTCTCAGCTCGAAAAGATCCTTTATTCCTCAGTTAACGGAAGACGAAACCTCTTGGATAACATCGTTATTAGCTTTGGGAGCGATATTAGGAGCGGTGCCAGCTGGAAAAATAGCCGATTATTTTGGTAGAAAGTTAGCAATGGCATTAACAGCTATACCCTTTCTGATATCATGGATTACATTAATCTTCTCAAGAAATATTATTGGTGTATATGTGGCCCGTTTTGTTGGTGGCATTGGTTCTGGAGCTGCTTGTGTTCTGGTACCAGTTTATATCGGTGAAATAGCTCAAGCATCGATCAGAGGAATGCTTGGAACATTTTTTCCACTTTTATTTTCATTCGGCATTGTTTTCTCTTATGTGATGGGTGCCTATCTTTCTTACACGATTTTCAATGTGTCATGTTGTTTTGTATTGACTATATTCCTCGTGATCATTGTGTTCCTTCCGGAATCGCCGATGTGGTTGGTACACCAAGAGAAAAAATCACAGGCTGTCAAAGTCCTCAAGATATTACGTGGTGTTAATTATGACGTTAAAGAAGAAATATCGACGTTGCAAGACGAGGCCGATAGAGTAGAAGCTAAAAGAGGAGGTATACTGGATCTTATCGGTACAAAAGCTGGACGAAAAGCATTTGGTACATGTCTTGGTCTAATGTGGTTCCAACAGATGTCTGGAATAGATGCTGTATTATTTTATACAGTTAGAATATTTCAAAATGCCGGTAGTACGATCGAACCATTCGTCGCTACTATCGTTATTGGCCTAATTGAGGTCATAATGACGATTTGTGTTGTACTGATCATTGACAGGTGAGAATATTATTTCTACGTTATAATAAAATTTAAGATACAAATTAAGAGACTTTAACAAGATCTCTTTTATATGTCAGTGTGTGTGTGTGTGTGTGTGTGTGTGTGTGTTATCATTTAAATGATTCGTAAAATGTCTGTTATTTTTGTTTTCCCCTTTTTTTCTTTTTCATTAGATTCGGAAGGAAACCATTATTGATAATATCTGGCGTAGCGATGACTCTATGTCTCGGTGTCCTTGGATATTATTTTAAAATAAAAACCGACGGTAAAGATGTACTTTTTCTTGGTTGGGTACCATTGACGTGTCTTTCCTTATTCAATGTCGTATTCTCAATCGGCTACGGATCGGTACCATTCGCAATGATAAGCGAACTTTTTCCACCTGAGACTAAGGGAGTAGCCAGTAGCATCTCTATTATGGTACATTGGAGTCTGGTATTTGCCGTGACTAAGCTCTTTCCAAAGATGGAAAACGTTCTGGGAGAAGCTACGACGTTTTGGACCTTCGCTTGTTTCACTGCGTTGTCTGCGGCCTTTGCCTTCTTTTTTGTCCCTGAAACGAAAGGGAAGACTCTTCAGGATATTCAAAAAAAACTGGAACGAAAGCGTAAGCTGATCAAAGACGTACAGTCTGTCTGAGGAGTCTCACTCTCATTCTCTCTCTCTCTCTTTCTCCCTCTTTCTCTCTCTTTTCCCTCCCTCTCTCTCTCTCTCTCTCTCTCTCTCTCTCTCATTCTTTCTCATATGGAATTTTATCTCGATTATTATATGTACTAGCGCTTTACGCTCGACAAACGAAGAAAAACGTGATATACAATTTGTCACTGATTAAACGTTTTATGTTCGTTTGAAAAAAAAAGAAAAAAAAAAAATAATTAAAAAAGAGAATTTGCTTGTAACGATATTAGCTTATTCTTAGTAAAGCGCTTATAAAGAAGAGATATATTTTTCTTTTTTTCTTTTTGTATGTACAACTCCATTTTCTTGACTAAGCTCTTTTTATTTCTGTTTTCATTTGGCGATTGATTTAATTCGTATTACTTTATTATTACACTTTCTATGTTTCATTCGATTTTTAATATAATAGATAAACATTCCTATGTATTATTTGTTTCAATAATATTCAAGAATTTCATATCAAGATATATATCTATATATATTTTCATTATTTTTACAAAGATACTGATCTAATTTCTTTCTCTTTCCCTCTTTCTCTCTCTTATTAATTAATATTATAAAAGAATATATGATACAGAGCGTTATATGATGCACGTCATTGTATGTAATCTCTCGACAAAAATAACTTTGTTGTACATAAGCAGCTACATGTAAGAGTCACAAAGATTATGATTAATTAGTATAGAAGATAGAGCAATATTATTTATAATATTGTAAGATTACGTAAAGACATAATATATGTATATATACATGTATATGTGTATATATATATATATATATATATATATATATATATATATATATTATAACCGATTTAATTACATACACACAAAATTACATCTGAGGCTATAAAAAAAGCTAGACTGCTTAAATAAATAAATAAATAAATAAATAAAAGAAGAAATAAATTTAGTGCACGTATGTATGTATGTAGATTGAAATCGGATATATCGTTTATAAAGATAAATATTTTATCTATTTATAATAAAATTAATTTTATTAACGAACAATCGATAAATGTATTACTAGAGAAAAATAAAAAGAGAAACGACAATAATGATAATAATAATAATAACAATAATAATAATAATAATAATAATAATAATAATAATAATAAATTTTTTAAAAGGATCGAAAGAGAAAAGGCAATTATAAATGACCTTGAAAAATGCGTTGCGTATTGCGGTATAATAAATCAAACTTCTACACAAACACTTTTTTGAACAATGCTGGCTATTTCTTAATCGACCTTCACGTACACGCAGTCGGATGAATTGCATTCTTCGTCAGCATACATATATATATATATATAGATATATCTATATCATACATATACATATATATATATATATATATATGTAGGTAATGTACATATTTTCTTGATGCTCTAATTGTGTGACATCGATTCATTGATTGCCCCTGCCAAAACATATAAAGTCTCTTTGTTGAAAAGGGTGTCATTGAACTGTTTGCAATTCGCTCGTATTAATCGTTGCTCTATCGATATAGCAGAGTAGATTATTGATTGGTCATATAATCTTGCATTGTCGTCGTATCTGCAAATATTAAATGTGTGATACCATGGGTTGGAATATGATATACATATTTCACATGTTTATATTAGCTGATGATTATGAAAGCGATGTCTATAAATTATATATATATATATATATTAATTTTTAAATATATATATTTGAATTACATACATACATATATATAACAAATTATTTTTTCATATATAATAAAAGAAAACACAGAAAAATTTATATATATATATATATATATATATATATATATATATATTCTTTTGTCTTCTTTTTCGAGTAAAAAGAAGAAAAATGTTCTTTCATGTAATTTTCGAAAATATTTTATAAAAAGAATTAAGGAGTGTCGTAAATACATCTTTTAATATCTTTAATGGATTAAAACACTTTCATAAATCATTAGCTCATAATAGCGTCAGCTGAGAGAGAAAAAAAAATAAAAGAAAAAAAAAAGAACTCTTGTATCGTATTAACAAAATGATACAATTGACAATATTAAAAGAAGTAAACGATGGAATTGTTTCAAATTCGAAAATCTCGAAGAAATGTCTGATATAAACAAAGTAATACAGTTTCTACTTTTCAAAATATTTTTTTCTATTTCGTTCGTTTAATTTAACGGCTCGATTATTATTATTATTATTTTTTCGTTAGTTTTCATTTGTTTTCTTTCTTTTTGAATGAAAAATCAAAGAAATAATATTATCAATTCATAAACGTTCGAATAAATAAGAAAATCGAATAAATACGCGAATTAATCGTTGTTCTTTTTTTTTCTTTTTTCTTTTGTTTTTTTTTTTTTTCTTTGTTTATAACATTAAATAAATCTCTCTCATGGATTGCTCTATTAATTCAATTTACAGTTGTTTAAACGGTATGAAGCTTTCATAACATAACCATAATATTATTATCTTCTTTCTTCTTTGTAATTTAATTTTGCAACAGTGATTATTTGTTTGTTTTTTTTTTTTCCATGTATATTTACATATCCAATGTCATCACAGGTAACGTTTTTCTAAGCATTATTTTCGATATCTTTTGATAATCGAAATAAAACTCGAATATCGTAGTATTAATTATAATAAACGATTATTGATATTTTTAAAGGAACATATTCATATTTCTTATCAAATAAATATTAAAAGATTCTTTAATGTGTTTTATTGATAAATTCATCATTAGTTTATATTCCTTGATAATAATTTTATTTAAATGATATATATATGTATATACATATATATATACATATATATATATATATATATATATATATAAATCGATACTCGAAAATCGAAATAATTCAACAATGGTATTTGATTTTGATTTTGTATTTATATCTTCTGCTACATCATTTTAACGTCAGTTTCTGCACTTCGTTTAATACGTACATATGATTTATTAACCAATAATTAAAGTCTCTACATCACTTTATGGATTCATAATAATTCTATGTTAGAATTTTAATTCTGTGTAATTATCAGTAAGTAAATGTGACAGAAATATTCATATAAATATTTAAATAAAACGTATAAATATTGTATACGTTTTCGTTAGATTATCTATGGTTTTTATTTTTCTTTTTCATTTTTTTTTTTTTTTTTTTTTTACAATTATGGTTAATGACCTTTACAATAATTGCTAATATAATTTTTGTATAACATTTTATTCATTCTTTATAAAATATTTTATTATTTTAGGTTACTTTGACAGATATATTATATCATCTAATTAATATATCTTATAATTTTACAAAAGTTAAAACAAAGGTAATTTTTTTTTTTATCATCATAAGTCAATTACTAGTAAGTCAATATCTTTTAATCTTTCATTAACTTCTGTATTTTATTTTTAACTCATTATATAGATGGCTACAGATGATTACGTTACTTGTCCTTACGATCCTAGTCATCGTATTCTTAAATCTAGAATGTCTAGACATTTAATAAAATGTGAGCTCAATCATCCTACTTTAAGATTATTAACATGTCCATATAATAAAATACATCGAATCAGTCCATTAGAATATGAGGTAATGTACTTTATCTATTTTTATAAATAAATATGTATAATATTTATAATATATTATTATAAATATAATATATATATATAAATATAATATATATAATATATTATTAATATGTATAATATAATAATATTTAATATTATTTATTTTCAACGTCGTAGCATCACTTATCGATATGCGAAAGCAAAGGTACCGTTCAAAGGAACTATTTTGAAAATGCTTCTTCAATATCAGCAAATATTCTTCCAGTTACAAAAATTAACGAATTACAAATTCCTCCTTCTTCAGAAAATTGGGATGAGGTATGAATAATATTTGATATAATTAAATAAGAAATATATTTATTGAAATTTGTTTAACAGGAACCAGAACCGTCACAATCGTATTTACAAAATCTTGAAAAAAAAAATGAGGACTTCCCACTAGCTGCTGCTACAAAATTAAAAAAAAAACAATTAAAACTAAAAGAACAGGATTATTTTGCTGTTAATGTCGCAAGCACTTCACCTTTAAGGCCAAAAACTTTAAAGTTAACTGATGTAAGTGAGATAGTTTATAATTTTCGGATTCGCCTTTTTTTTTTACAAATAGAATTTTTTTTAATATAATAGAAAATTGAAAGATCATTACAATCGCTAGAAATAAAAAGTACTGATACTGAATGTAATAAGAAAGTGGAGAAAGCTATTAAAAGGAGTAAGTTATATAATTCCATTACTAGAACATGTAAAGAACAATTTAAATACATGTTAAAACTAGAATGGATAAAGAATTCATAGTTACTAAAGAAATATATTTATCTTTCAAGGAGGAAAATAGAACTACACCTATTGAAGACACAACAATTGTTAAATCATCAAAATCTAAGGATGCTTCAATTCTTGAACTGTCACCATCAAAGGATGCCCCAATTGTTGAACTGTCAACATCAAGTGATACAGAAATAAAAGATAATGGAACAATTAAAACGCCTAAAAAGACAACTGCTGAGTGTAGTCCTGACAGATTAAGAAATGATAAGGATATTAAGAAAAATTTCAGTATTGGTCGCGGTATTTTTAAGATATGTGAAATACACAGAAAATTTGGAATTTCTAAAAAAAACTTTGAATCAAAGTTTATGAATTCAAAAAGTGGTAATATATTATATTAAATTTTTTGTTATAATAACATAATTTATATTATAATACATGTTAATGTAATTTCAGATGTAGAGTCATTAGTAAAACAAAGTGCAGAAATGAATAATAACAAAGGTATTTTTGTTGGGTACTCGGAAGATGATTTTACTTTGGACATGGACAATATTGAAAACAAATTGACTGATATCGATGTGTGGTATGTTTAATAAATATGCAAACAAAAATCATATTTTTAATATTGAATTTATACATAATTATATATTTTAACAGAATCAAAAGGAAAAAAAACCCGAGTCCCCAACAATGTGATAAAGTTAATTTTATCACAGCAAGAATATTTTTTTATTTTTTATATAAGTAACGTAAGATTTTATTTCGTGTGTGTAAGTTTTAAATAATCGATGTTACTTTTTTTATATCATTATGTTATAAAATCCAATAACATTTGTATTTTTATAATTTTGTTTGATTCTTTACTAAGAACTACTTTTTAATCATGTACATTCCTATATGAATCATATCATATATTAAATAAATTACTTTAATAAAACATTTTCATATCTATGTTATTCTCCATTTTAATATAAAAATTTTCCTAAAGATGTCGTGAGAACGTTGTATGCTATATCATTACCAACTATCTAACTCTTAAGCGCGTTAGGTGACAAGTATATCTCAATATATCATAAAAGAAGAAACTTTGACAAACGTGTTGTGTTAAACAAAACTATCCGTAAAATGGTAAATTATTAATTCATAAAAGATATTATATAAATTTTTAATAATTCAAAAAAACAAAGTTCTTTTAATTCTTTTCACTTGTAATAATAGAGGTTATGTTTCAAAATGCATTGTCATCAAACTCATATAAGATACTTTTTCAATTATAAAATATTTAAATTTGATTATTACATTTATAATTTTTATTAATTATTACATTTATATTTTTATCATGGAAGATTATTTCAAAATTTTAATTTCTTTTATTCAACCTTATCATATGTAATATCTTATATACTTTACACTATATATATATAAGAAGATATTATATTTGTTTCTATTGATGTTTAGGCTCGCAGGTACGATACACGTACCACAATTTTCTCACCAGAAGGTCGTTTGTATCAAGTGGAATATGCTATGGAAGCAATTAGTCATGCTGGTACATGTTTAGGTATACTGGCAAACGATGGTATTCTATTAGCCGCTGAGAGAAGAAACACAAATAAACTCTTAGATGAAGTATTCTTTTCTGAGAAAATATATAAATTAAACGACGATGTAGTCTGTTCTGTGGCAGGCATAACAGCCGATGCTAATGTTCTTACAAATGAGCTGCGTTTAATAGCTCAAAGATATCTTTTGCAATATGGCGAACCAATTCCATGCGAACAATTAGTATCATGGTTGTGCGATGTTAAACAAGCTTATACTCAGTATGGTGGAAAAAGACCATTTGGAGTATCAATTTTATATATGGGTTGGGACCGTCATTATGGCTATCAATTATATCAGTCAGATCCAAGTGGAAATTATGGTGGTTGGAAAGCAACTTGTATTGGAAATAATTCTGCAGCGGCTGTATCATCTTTAAAACAAGAATATAAAGAAGGAGAAACTACTCTAAAAGATGCAATGTCATTAGCTATTAAAGTACTTTCAAAAACATTAGATATGAATAAGCTTTCAGCAGATAAAGGTATACAAATAATATTTTATCATATATTTTAATCCAATATATTCTTACACTAATTTGAAATATATTTATTTAGTGGAAATGGCAACATTGACTCGTGAAAATGATAAAACAAGAATTAGAATTCTTCCAGCCAATGAAGTTGATGCTTTAATAGAAGAACATGATCGATTAGAAGCATTAGCTGAACAAGCCAAAAAGGAAAAACAAAAATTATAGAGAAATTGGTTGTACATGGGATCAGGCTGGTACATCCTAAAGAGGCATTATTCTTTTTTATCATGCAGAATCCCATATTGTATGTTTGTAAAGCTTTTTCTTAATAAATTTATAAGTTTCACATTCTTTGTGCGTTTATCTATTTGAATTTAATGTCGTCGTATATAATAAATAAACTATGAATTAAAAACTCGAAGACTATTTTATCAATAATGTATTGTTATATTTAATTTTAATTGAACGTTCAACGAGAGACGAAAATTTTTTTTAATAAAAAATAACAATAATCCTGTTATTTCTTACGAATTTTCTATTCTAATAAATTATAAGTATAACAATTTAATATAAAAAAAGAAAAAAAAATCAAAAACACGATGCGTTACGCTTTCCTATCTATGAATACAGACGTCTTCTTATCTTTTTTTTGTACGGGTAAAAAAAATGGATAAAATAATATAAAAAAAAAAATTTTTACCAATTTGAGATTAGAATTGTTAATATTATTTAAAAATGAAAGAAAAAAGGAAAAAAAAAAGTTATGTGTCGAGTCATATCGACCAGGCTGCCAATGCGGTCCCACTCCCGGGCGCGATCCCACTACTGCCCGCCACGGAGACTTTTGGCTGCTGGGTTTCCCCTCTGGCCCGGTTCGCCTCTCCTTAGCCAACCTGGTCACCCCGGATTCCTCCAAGGTACCCATATTGATGGCGAGCTTAGCGCGGACGCCCAGTCAACGTGGATCCCGCACCAACAGTAACCCCCGACCTCAGACCCTCCAAACATAACCAGCCTCCGAGTAGCCGGATTACAGGAGCCGCCACACTCCCAGCTGAGAACGTTGCTTCTACTCGTCTATATAAGTTAATACCTCGGCTAACTTCACATGTTTATCGTTAAAGTGTTTGGTGAGTGCGTATACATGTGTTAAGTAAAACGTTACTATCTTCACACGAGTTCAAAAAGTATAACATTATTGAGTACAGATGGCGTCTAGATTGAAATAAAAGATCTGAGGATAAGGCTTACCATATCGATAAGTATGCATTCTTTAATACCAATGAAATTAATTTTGAAATAACGACATCTCATAGACATATCTAGAACATAATAGTTAATGTACCGATATATCGCAACTCGATAATCGAGATTCAATCGATTTATGGTGCGCGGCGGAGCGCGTCTTAGAGAGTGGATGTTTAGGGCAGTCATTTATTCTTTCTTTTCACCTTAATCGAGGAAAAACGAAGAAAGAAGCGGTCATGTCTAAGGCTGATGAAAATGCGGATACTGGTGATACAGGAGATAATTCAAATGGTTCTTCAGCGGAGACCACATCATCTAGGGGTGGTGATTTCGAGACGAAACTTGAATCAGACAGAAGTAAGAGGTTTGATTACTTGCTCAAGCAAACTGAAATATTTTCTCATTTTATGACCAACAATCAGAAAGATAAAGCTGGAAGTCCGTTAAAAGTCAAGGCTGGTAGACCTAGAAAACAACCAGAAAATCTAAATAAATCTGATTCTGGTGATCATAGACACCGCAAGACTGAGCAAGAAGAGGATGAGGAACTCTTGGCGGAGAGCAATGCCAGTGTAGCACCTACAACTCGTTTTGAATCCTCACCCCATTATATAAAATCTGGTGAGTTGAGGGATTATCAGATTCGTGGTTTAAATTGGATGATATCGCTCTATGAAAATGGTATCAATGGTATTCTGGCTGATGAGATGGGTCTTGGTAAAACTTTACAAACTATATCATTGTTGGGATATATGAAACACTTCAGAAACATTCCTGGTCCTCATATTGTTATTGTTCCAAAGTCTACATTAGCCAATTGGATGAACGAATTTAAAAAGTGGTGTCCTTCCTTAAGAGCAGTTTGTCTGATTGGTGATGCAGAAACAAGAAATACTTTTATCAGAGACGTTATGATGCCAGGCGAGTGGGATGTCTGTGTTACGTCCTATGAAATGGTAATCAAAGAAAAATCAGTATTTAAAAAATTTAACTGGCGTTACATGGTAATAGATGAGGCTCACAGAATAAAAAATGAGAAATCTAAATTATCAGAGATATTAAGAGAATTTAAAACAGCTAATAGACTTTTATTAACTGGTACACCACTTCAGAATAATTTGCATGAATTATGGTCTTTACTTAACTTTTTATTGCCAGATGTATTTAATAGTTCTGATGATTTTGATTCTTGGTTTAATACAAATAGTTTCTTAGGTGATAATTCTTTAGTGGAAAGATTGCATGCAGTATTAAGGCCATTCCTTTTAAGACGCTTGAAGTCAGAAGTAGAGAAAGGACTGAAGCCAAAAAAGGAGATTAAAGTATACATTGGTCTTAGTAAAATGCAAAGAGAATGGTATACCAAAGTATTAATGAAGGACATTGATATAGTAAATGGCGCTGGAAAAATTGAAAAGATGAGATTACAAAACATTTTAATGCAGTTACGTAAGTGTTGTAATCATCCTTATCTATTTGATGGTGCTGAACCTGGACCACCATATACAACAGATGAACATCTTGTTTATAATTGTGGTAAAATGGTGATACTCGATAAACTATTGCCTAAATTACAAGAACAAGAATCAAGGGTACTAATATTTAGTCAAATGACCAGAATGCTGGATATTTTAGAAGATTATTGTCACTGGAGAGGTTTTCAGTATTGTCGTTTGGATGGTAATACGGCACACGAGGATCGTCAGAGGCAAATCAATGAATATAACGCTCCTAATAGTGAAAAGTTTATATTTATGTTGTCGACGAGAGCAGGCGGATTGGGTATAAATTTAGCGACTGCCGATGTTGTTATTATTTATGATTCTGATTGGAATCCGCAAATGGATTTGCAAGCGATGGATCGAGCTCATCGTATAGGACAACAAAAGCAAGTACGTGTTTTTAGATTTATTACAGAGAACACTGTAGAAGAGAAGATCGTTGAACGAGCTGAGGTTAAATTACGATTGGACAAATTGGTCATACAACAAGGTCGATTGGTCGATGCAAAACAGACTGCATTGAACAAGGATGAAATGTTAAATATGATTAGACATGGGGCTAACGAAGTGTTTGCTTCAAAGGATAGCGCTATTACCGATGAAGATATAGATACTATATTACAAAAGGGTGAAGCAAAGACCGAAGAAATGAAACAGAAATTGGAAAGCTTGGGAGAATCTTCTTTACGTAATTTTACCGTCGATGCACCAACCGATTCGGTCTATCAATTTGAAGGTGAAGATTATCGTGAGAAACAAAAGATATTAGGAATTGGTAATTGGATAGAACCTCCTAAACGTGAACGTAAAGCCAATTATGCGGTTGACGCTTATTTTAGGGAAGCTTTAAGAGTTTCCGAACCAAAAGCACCAAAAGCTCCTAGACCACCCAAACAACCGATCGTACAAGATTTTCAATTTTTTCCTCCTCGATTGTTTGAACTACTCGATCAAGAGATATATTATTTCAGACAAACCGTCGGTTATAAGGTTCCAAAGAATCCTGAATTAGGATCAGACGCGGCTAGGATACAAAAGGAAGAACAACGTAAGATAGATGAGGCTCAGCCATTATCGGACGAAGAGGTCGCAGAGAAAGAAAAATTATTGACTCAGGGTTTTACCAATTGGACAAAGAGAGATTTTAATCAATTTATAAAGGCAAATGAAAAATATGGTCGCGATGATATTGAAAATATTGCTAAAGAGGTCGAAGGTAAAACACCAGAAGAAGTTATGGAATACTCAGCAGTTTTTTGGGAACGTTGCCATGAGTTACAGGACATTGATAGAGTGATGGCACAAATAGAAAGGGGCGAGGCCAAAATACAAAGGCGCGCCGGTATAAAGAAAGCATTGGACGCAAAGATGGCCAGATATCGTGCACCGTTTCATCAATTGAGGATAGCTTATGGTACTAATAAAGGTAAAAATTATACGGAAGAGGAGGATAGATTTCTTGTTTGTATGTTACACAAATTGGGTTTCGACAAGGAAAACGTTTATGAGGAATTAAGAGCTACCGTTAGATCAGCACCGCAATTTCGTTTCGATTGGTTTGTAAAATCTCGTACTGCCTTGGAATTGCAACGACGATGCAATACCTTGATAACATTGATAGAACGTGAAAATCAAGAATTGGAAGAGAGAGAAAGGCAAGAGAGAAGGAAGAAGGGTGGCAATGTAGGTACTAAGCCTGCTTCTAAACGAAAACAAGAAAATTTACCAGCACCACAAGATAAACCTCGAAAGAAGAAGAAATAATAAGGCGAATTCGAGTCTTGTACGATATCGTTCTTAATTTTTTTTATTTTTTATTATTCCTTTTTTTTTTTTTTTTTTCCCCTCAATTCTTTACCATAAAAATACAGACTGTCTATTTCCATAGTTTTTTTTTTCTTTTTTTTTTTTTTTTATCTTTTTATCCATTATTCAGAATTTTCACTAAATACACCATGACTCAAATTCATAGACAGTAAATTCTTATAAAAATTTCTCTTAAATCGTTCTCTTTTTTTCTCTCTCTCTTTTTCTTTTTCTTTCTCTTTCTTTTCTCTCCCTCCCTTTCTCTCTTAATGCACCCTTCCATCCAACTTATACGAATAAGAAAGAATTTAGTCTTGTAAGAGTTCAGCGTAAAGAAAAAAAAAAAAAAAAAGAAAAAGAAAATCTGTCTTAGAGATTTTTCATATTCAAACTGTTATCGAGGAATGAGTTATCGTCATAGTATAAATTCATTGGCCAGGTCGGTGTGAATGTTGGTCATTTTTGCATGTCTATGGATTTGGGACCAAGAATCATCTTTCTTATTTTTTTCTTTTTGTTTTCTCTTCATCTTTTTTTTTCTTTTTTTTTTCTCTTTTTTTTTTTTTTTTTTTTTTTTTGTCTTTTTGTTGCTTGTTCTTTAGATCAAATTCTGGAGCATTTATATGCTATCCGCAAAAGAAATTCAATTGAATACAAAATGGATTTTAAAATTATACAAAATGTTTCTTTCTTCAATTGCTGTATATTATACAATTGATACAGTGTTTTCCTTCATGATTTTATTTTCATATATTTAAAATTATAATATGATAACGAGAAAGCATCATTTTATTTATTATGATTGATATAGAGGAGATTGTAATAAATTTTACAAATAAAAAAAACTCAAACCATCGAATATAATCACAGTGTTGTTTATATAATTTCTTTCTTTATCCATAAATATAATTATTATATTTTATAATTAATAATAATATTATTAACATTCGCATGTTTCAATCGTTTCGTTATATTTTACTTATGTATATATATATATATATATTGTCCGTTATAAATGTAGTATAAAATGCAGCCACCAGATGGTGCAGTTAAACATATTCATATGTAAAGATTTAAAAAATTTGTTGTCATTACTTTATGTTTTAAGCGGTGATAAATTAAAATTATAAAACGTTGCTGTAATCGTTAATATAAGTAATTTCAAAAATCTTATATATTGAAGTGAAAATGGTTGTAAGTAAATACAGCTGTTAAATCTACCGCTTGCTAACTGGGCCAATCAGTAAAATCATTACACACATGCGCTAAATTTCCCTCCGTCTGGCATAAGTGACTTCGGATATAGCAAAAAATTATCACAAAACGTGATTGATTTTATTATTATTAATACGATTATTATTAATACGGATAAATAAAAATAATTGGATTTATTATTAAATATATCGTTCTTCTATTAAGTGCATATTATGAGAGCTAGAGTTCCTTTAATTTTGATAACAGAAGAAACATTTGAAATCTTACATCATTCAATCAGATGCGCGAATATTTTGGTTAGATATAACAGCTGATAATTATCTTATTTTATAATAAAAATTAATTCATGTGAATAAAAATGAGTTTTAACGATCTCGTACACTGGTAAGATTTTCATAATAATTTTTTTCTTTTACATTAATATAACAATAGACGTGATACATTTTTATTGATTTCATCATTGCCCCTCTAACAGATGTATTTTATTATTTCAGGTATCAAAAAAAAATTGGTACATATGATAAGCAACAGTGGGAGAAAACAGTGGAACAAAGAATTCTTGGTGGATTTACTAATGTTCCAATGAAAACAGCAAAATTGAAAACAGAATTTATAGACGTTGACTTGGTACGAGGTAAGTTATAAATGAATAAATACTTCTCTTATGATTTTTCTTGATACATTTTTAATTAATTATTTTTTAAGATTGTTAAATATAATACATTTATAATATCTTTAGGCTCATCATTTCCAAAAGCAAAACCAAAACATGGTTTATCTACTGTAGCATGTTTAGCATTGCAACGTCTTTTATTTCTACCTCTATATAAGACATGGTGGAGCCAACAAACGAGTATTAGAGTGTTTGTTTTATTTTTGTTATTGTATAGCTTGCAATTGATCAACATTTTACTGTATTTTGCTTATGGAGACAGAGAAAATGAGGCTGATGTATGAAATTAAATTTTTTCTTTGTAACTTTATACTATATATATATATACATATATAGTTACTATATATTTAAGTACATCATTTTATTATACAGATAGTTTCAACATCAGAAGTCTTTATACCAAGTGTTATGATGTTAATATTATGCTTAGTTCATTCTCACATTGTATCAACGAATTCTGGGCCTATGGAGATTAATGGTTATAGTAGGCAAAAAGTTATTAGACGATCAAGACATGGTAGATGCAGAATTAGTAAGTCAAGAAGTAGATCAAATTTAAGTAAGTTTATTTATATATGTGAAAACATAGTTTGATACACAGATGTTTAGAATTTTTGTTATAGAAGTACATGATGACTCGAAATCGTCGCAAGATACTGCCTCGGAAAAAGCAAGTACCATAAGTAGAGAGGCACTTACTTCTGTACGATTTGCAAAAAAAGTTATGATTGAAAATTCCTTGACACTTAGTCAATCGCAGGTAAATTATTTGTATTTACATTTTGAAATATAATTCAAGATAATTAAGTAAAATTAATGGGACATTTTTTCAATTAAAGGAATTTCTTCCTCATTCAACTTGTAATAAAGAAAAATTGAATATATCATTGAATACACCTTCCATAAATGAAGATTCTATCAATTGTAATCAACCAGGTATAAAATCCAAAATAGTGTTAAATAAAATAGATTTATAAAATAATATTTATAATTTCATATTTTTTCTATTTAAATAAATTTTAGTCATTCCTCCAGAAGAAAATGTAGAAAATCCAGATGTTGTACATCAGGATGACGATGGATTTGAAAGTTTAAATGGGAATGTATCTAGCGATAATGATAGGACAGTTAATAAATTCTTACAACAAACAAACAGAGATCAAATCAAACTATGCGATAATAAAGAAGGAAATTTGTTTCAATTGGAAGCATCTAGTAGCCAACAAATTTTACTTCAACCCAAATATTCAGGTTTGGTGTTCAAATGTTTATTCTTTTTAGATAGAAACATATCTGATGTATTTATTTTTTTTATTTTAGTTTATTTCATATTTTAAATGCATATCTGTGTGTGTGTGTTGACACAAGTAGAAAATTTATCGCACTCTTCCATTCATCTGTAGATACTGCGGTTACATTGCAACCAAGAAACAAATATAACTATAGTGGAAACTAATAATATTTCTAAACAGTTAACATGCTTTAATCTTTGTTGGAAGGGAAAAGCAGAATGTTAGATAAATCATAGTTTTCCACTTTCCACGCAGCACCTGACCCATTGAAGAAAGGAGGAAACTTTTCCGACAGTGAAGGAGATGGATGCATTGTGACGGTAAACCAAACTCTGATTGTATGCATTATCAATAATAATTTGTATATCCATTTTGTTTTCCTTGATTATAATTATAATACATTATGTTTATTAATACATTTTTAAGGAAAGAGATGAATCACCGACTATATCAGAAATAAGAGAAGGAAGACGACAGTGTGAAAGTGAAGAAGAAGGTGAATGCGAGGATGCCGCAACGAATCATTTAACCGAAGCGACAACATCTGCGACAGAGTGGATGGGTGTGACAACGAATAGCGATGAATGTAGTTATAGGTACAAAACGAATATAAAATATTAAGAATAATTAATAAAAAGCATGATCTTATATATATATATATATATATATATATATATATATATATATATATAGAGAGAGAGAGAGAGAGAAAGAGAAAATGTTATAATGCAAGATATTTCTTTCTTTTCTTTTTTTTACAGTTCAGAACTGGAAGAATCAGATTTGCATAGTGAGACCAATTTAAATTATAGCGAATTTATAGAACATCCTTTCTCTTGGGAATTTGGATTACCTCCTTCTATTTTATTAAGTTCCAGTTGTGCTTCATCCGATCGCAGTTAGTTTCTTTTTTTTTTTTTTCTTTTTTTTTTTTTTTCATATACAAATATCATTTACTATAGCAATAACGTTCATTTGCTGTTTTATTATTATTATTATTATTATTATAATATTTATACAGTTTCGTGTACAATTTGGACAAGACGTGATGTCAAGAAAGCAGAATTGTCAGTACTTGATATCAGTTCTGCTATTATAGCAAGAGTAGAGTCAATGCCTGAAAGTATGAATTATTTTTATGGTGGATTGGTATTAAGTATTATATTGTCTTTAGTACCGTCAATTAGACGAATAACTGACACTCTTGGAACAGATAGCAGTGGCAATACAACTGTTTCCATAATACCAGATGATCTCAGACAAGTTAATTTAGAAACGTATACTGATATTTTATGTAGAATAATTGATATTGCTTTTGGAGATACGATACTGTAAGTTTTCCAAAGTCTTTTTTTTTTCTCTCATTATTATAAATATATTATCAAATGAAAAGAATACTACAAAAATAATTTGATTACAGGAAACGTATTATTGTATTAATCTCTGCCTTTGAAAGACTTGCATTATCTTGTCTCTTGTTCTTTTTATTGGCAGTGGCTGAACGGACCTATAAACAAAGACTCTTGTATGCTAAATTATTTTCTCATTTAACTTCATCGAGACGTGCTAGAAAATCTGATTTGCCTCATTTTCGATTAAACAAAGTGCGAAATATAAAAACTTGGCTAAGCGTTAGATCATACTTGAAGGTATCACAAAGATATTTCTTTGATAAATATTCTTTCTATATTTTTTGAATTGAAGGTATGTATATTTAATTTCATGAAACTTTACAGAGAAGAGGACCACAACGTTCTGTTGATGTTATAGTATCCTCAGTTTTTATTGTTACATTATTATTACTATCTTTCATTAGTTTGGAACTAATTAAGGTAAATTACATAGATATACATATATATATATATATCATAATTGGTGTCGAGATTTTCATACTATAATAAAATATCTTTCATTTTCAGGATCTGGAAAGTTTACATTCGCAATATAACGTCGAAGCATTATTTTGGAGTTTTTCATTAGGAATATTTATTTTGCGTTTTATGACATTAGGAACGAAAGTTAATAAAAAATATAGAAATCTTTCGATTTTGATAACTGAACAGGTATGTTGATTGATTATACAATTTAGCAGTTAAATTTTTAGAAGAAATATTTTTTTCAGATAAATTTGTATCTTCAAATTGAACAAAAACCCCATAAGAAGGAGGAACTAATGGTGGCAAATAGTGTATTAAAATTAGCAGCCGATTTGATAAAGGTCTTTTATAATATCTTTTTATATTTGTAAAATGAAAAATTAATGTTTAAAAATAAAATTGTATTATATTAATTTATTCGTTGTTGTATTGGTTACAGGAACTCGAAAGTCCTTTTAAAATATCTGGCCTATCTGCTAATCCATATCTATATACGATTACAAAGGTGGTACTTTTGTCAGCCCTTTCTGGAGTCCTATCGGAATTACTTGGTTTCAAACTTAAGTTACATAAGATAAAAATAAAGTGAGATGATGTTATATCTCGCTTATCTACCTCGATGTTACAGACTGACTGGTGAAAAAAAAATTGCATGACGTATCAGCATATCTGTATACATTAATTGTTTCTTATTTTTGATCAGATCTATAAAAACTACTAATACATTCGAAAAACTATATATATGATTAGTTTTAAGATTAAAAAAAAAAAAAAAAATAAATAAAAAAAAAAAGTAAATAAATAAACACCTCTGATGCGCGGTGTTTTTTCAAATCAATTTTTAAATCAATGTCCATGTGATAATTGCTCGAAGAAACATGTACATGGATATATGTACATGCGCTTGAAATAATACGTACTGTTGCAAATATTTACAAATTTAAAAAATTTTCTAAAGGAAAAAACAATTGTAAATAATTATCAAAAGAAATTTGACGCTATTTTTTGTTATTTGGATTAATAGATTATGATTTAATTAAAATTGATTTACACAATTTATTGATTTAAACAATTATATTCTAAATAATTTAAGATATCAATTTGATATATACATTTGATTGATTACCTTCATAGAATTTAAAGGGTCGCACGTATATTTATTTATGCATAATGCATTTTTCTAATCATTAGTCAATCCTGTATTTAACTACTATTGTATAGTTTTTTTTTTGCAAAATAATGTATAGTGTATATAATTACATACACAAAGTTATTACAAATTATTGATTTGACAATATTCTAATAAAAGAAAAAAAAAATATATATATATGTGTGTGTGTGTATATATATATATATATATAAAAGTAAAGGAAGGTTGCGTCCATATTATAATTAGAAATGGAATGAGAAATATTAATCGAAAAAAACTTCGTGTTAGAAATTTCAGCAATATGAAAAAGAGTTTTTATTTCTTGCTTTAAAAT